CCCCGCAACCCGACCAAACACCAACCCGACGTGACCCGACGTAACCTCACCCGCTACCATGTACAAGTGCCATTTGTCTGGTTGCACTTTCAGCTGTGGCACGCCCATGGAACTTGTTGAGCACCAGCGCGACTGTAGTATCCACCCTCGGACGACTTCTTCGACGAGTGCAGCAGTGGCCATGAGTGGTGGTGATGGAAGTGGTGTGCATGCAAGTGATGGTATTGGTGGAAATGGAAATGCTCAAGGTCTCAACAATGCCGCTGCGACACGTCTGCCTTCGTCCACATCATCCGTTTCGGTCGATTCGTCAATGGCCACAATGCCACCATCATCATCATCATCATCATCTTTGTCGACGGCTGGACCTCACTCGTCGCGCCCTGTCCCTGTTCCTCCTGTTCCTGCTGCTGTTCCTGCTGTTCCTGCTCCTGTTCCTGTTCCTGCTCCTGCTCCTGTTCCTGTTCCTGCTCCTGTTCCAGCTCCTGTTCCTGTTCCTGCTGCTACTGGTCACTCGACGCATGGCAATCGCCCAGATCCCAAGCTGACCATTCATCTGCCGAGCTCGGCGGCGCTCGCTGCGGGCACGGCGAGTTTGGCTGCGAGGGCACCGCCGACTGGCTCGGCTCCGGCGCCCGTTCCGGTACCGATGGACGTGGTGTCGGCGCGTAGTGCCGGCAGCGCACCGCCGTCCGCCGTCCCGATGCCCGGACATAGCAGCATGCCGGCCCCGGTGCCGATGGCTGTGGCTGCACCGGCAGCGCCGAGCGTGCCGGCCAAGCTTCGCGGGCCGACTTCGGTTCCGCTTCCTGTCCTTCCCTTCAATCCTGTGACGCTGACGACGGCGCACGCTGCGCGTGACGAGCTCGGCAAGCGCTTCTCGGCCTGGCACCGCCAGGCAATGCATGCCGAGAACGATACCGCGTTCCGCGAGGCGCGAATCGTCAGCATGGAGGCGCTGGCTGCACCGATGGCGCTCGAGGCGCTCGAGGAGGCGTTTGGCCTGTGAGGTCAGTGGGCGACCTTGGCCATTGTCATGGCGCCGCCCATGCGGTGGCGGCGAAGCGTGAGGATGACGGCGAGGATGAGGCCGGTGACGGCGAGCGCAAACGAGATGAAGAACGAGGTCTGGTAGCACTTGTGGCCGAAGCACTTTTCGGACCGGCCCTGGGCCTTGGTCTGGACGTCGTAAAAGTGACCAAAGAGCGTGTTCATGGCGTTGCCGCCAACGCCGGCCGCCGTCGAGCCGATGGCCCAGTTGGTGGCAAAGTACGCCAGTGAAAACCGTGCGATGCACGTCGGCCCAATGGAGAACGTGCCGCCGTACGCGAGGCCAGTCAGAATGGTCGGGATCCAGATCGTGGCCGTCGAGAGATAGAAGAACGCGTTGAGCGCCTGTGCCGCCGTCATGAGCGCAAGCGTGCCCACCAGGAAGGTGGCATGCGGGATGCCCAGCCGCGGCACGAGCACGTCAGCACTCGTGCCAAACAAAATACGGCCAAGGCAGTTGCCGATCGAGAGTGCCCCAACCTGGAGCGAGGTTGCCGACGAGAGCGTCGAGTCTGCAAGCGAGCCGGCAGCAATTGAGACCATGACCGACGACAAGTTGTTGATGTACATGAGCCCACAGCCGAGCGAGCACGTAAGCACGCCGTAGAGCAGAAGAAACTCGGGCGACTGCAGGAGTCGTAGGCCATAGATGCCCGAGTCCGAGTCGGCATCTTCCGACTCGGACTCGTCGACAATCTTGTGCGGCACGAGGAGGGCGGCCGACTCGGCATCGGAGCGCGCAGCCGCCGGCCGGCCACCCCTGCTACCGACTGGCGAGATAAGCGGCCTGTTGACCGATGCCGACGACGCAAAGTCGTCGCCGGCAGCCTTGGCTTCGTCTGACGCTGGCGGGCCGTCCTTGTCTGCGTACGGCAGCCGTTTGAGCAGAAAAACGCCGAGGGCAAAGATGGTGCCAAGGGCAATGGCCAAAGTGGTGAAAAAGGCCGAGACGCTCGACGGAGCCCAGATGGCCGAGTATAGCTGGGAGAGGATAAATGCCGAGAGGCCAAAGCCGCCGACGATGATGCCGACGATAGTGCCGCGACTGTCCGGGGAAAAGTTGACCACGTTTGTCGCCAGGGCGGAGGAGTAGCCGCCAGAGGAAGCAAGACCAACCATGAAGAAGCCTACGCCCATGAGAACGGGCGAGACTGGGAGGATCTTTGCATAGACGAGAGCCATGATGGCATAGCCCGAGGCAGCGAGGATGGACGAGACAGCCGAGAGCGGAGCAGGACCAAAGACATCCAGAATGTACGATTGAGGCAGCGAGCAGAGATAGAGACCATTATCACCGATGGATGAAATAAGATTGACTTGGCTCTGGGTAAATGCCAAATGCGTCTTGAACTGGTTGGCATAAGCAGAGTACGCGTAGAGTGTCCCTCCGCACGTCGACATCAGCAGTCCATGAAGAAACGATGTGATGAGCCAGCCACGGCTCCGTGCCGGTTTCCAGCATCCTCCTCTTTCTCCTGCGACCATACTTGCTCAAACAAGGGGGGGGGGGGAGGGGGGAGGGGGGAGGGGATGTGTGAGTGCAGTGTTGCCTTCTCCTTCTCCCTCTCCCTCTCCTTCTCCCTTTTCTTGCTCTGGCCTTGTGACTCTCAACTAGTCAGTCTGCTTGTTGTGACTGAGCATGTCACTCGCTTGTGCGAGCAGTTGGGTTGTTGGACAATGGTGGCTGAGGGGTGCACGTGACTTGCTGCAGGTCACGTGTATGCCATGGCCTACTTTGGGCTACCTCGACCCATCGCCGACTTTGTGACCTGTCACATGCTTTGACTTTGTAGTCATGGCTTTGTCATGCGATTCGCAGCCGTTGGACACAGGAATACCTTGTATTTGTCGTCGTCGGGTACCTCAAGCCTATCCGTACCCCCATGGCCACCTGCCTTCCTCCCCCATGCCATGAACAAAAAATTGATATCTAAAATACCCCCCCCCCCCCCCCCCCCCCCCGAAAAAAATAAGTAATATATAAATCTAAATACCCCCCCCCCCCCCCCCCCCTCCCATCCACCGAACAATCATTCGCCATCACGGCTTTGGCAGCGACTGCGTACGCCCACACACGCACATACACCCACTCGTCCACCTACTCCATTCTGCACCACCACATCACGCACCACACCACTCACGCACTTTCCCCTTTATCTCTCCCCACATTGTGTGTGGCATGAAAATACATCCCATGTCGCAAGAGAAGGACAACAAGAACGGAGAGCAGTTGCACGATATTCCACCGTCATCATCATCATCGTCATCGTCATCATCATCGTCGTCGTCCTCCTCGTCGGCGTTGTCTCTGGGTGGTGCGAGTTCTCGACATGGACAAGATCGAGGTGCTGGGGGTGGCGAGGCTCTAGGATCGGTGGCGTTGAGCAGCAAGGGTCATAGCTCGGTGACGAGGCAGAAGAGATGGAAGCAGTTTGCGGTGCTGGTCGGAGTTGTTCTCGTCCCCATTGGTATCTGTTTGATCTTTCTGCAGCTGCCGGCGGATGATGCGCTCGAGTTTTGCATCTATCGCATGGGTGGCCTTGGACTCGTCCTGGGCGCAACTCAAGCGGCGGCGCTTTTCACTATCCTCACCGCCATCCCTTCCGACAGCACTGACGATGCTGACGGTAGTGCAAGTCAAACGAGTCTGGAAGGAAGCAATGCCGATGGTGGTGATGGTACCAAGCCTGGCATTGTCCGGATTGGCCTAGCTGGAGGTTATGCGGTGGTGTACGCCGGAGTCCTCGCTGTGAGTGTCCACACGATCGGATACAGGCTGCTCACCACTTTCCACAATGCGGTGATTGTGGCAGGGCTGGGAGTGGCACAGGTTGCAGGCCTTGTTCTCCATCTGGTAGCCAACGGGCTCGCGCCGAAGCGAAAGGGCGGGGCGGTGAGCAGCTCAACGGTGGCGGCGCTTCACGTTGGCCTGCTGGCGCTGTTTGGCCAGCTTGGCTTCTCGATGGCGTTTGGAACAGTGTTTCTCAACGATGTGCGGGCCGAGTGGGTCAAGGTACTGATGTGCGCGCTGTATCCGATCCTGCTTGTGGTCTTCAAGCTCGTCCAGCAAGCGTGCATCACGTCGTTGGCGCCGGACGTGGAGCCGCTGGTGGAGTTTGGCTCGTTGGCGCTAGCGGCGCTGCCGTACCGGATTGTTTTCCTCGGCCTCGACAACTGGATCACCTTTGCTCTTGTGCTCTGCGTGGAGCTGGTATTTAAGGCGCTGGTGTATCCTGTTCAGATTTCTTCGTGGTGGACGTCGATTCGGGCATCGCTCCGGTCACGTCTCCCGTCGTGGTGCGGCAAGGGCGGCGCGCCGGAAAGCAATGCGCTGATGGCAAGCACAGCGTCGCTGCGATCTGCGGACGGACGGATAGGGCATACGGGACGGCTTGCGCTGCTGGGTAGTTCTGAGGCTGTGCGACACACACGACTTGCGCTCAAGTTCTTTTTCCACTCGCTGGTGGACACGGTGTCGATTGTGGGCGCAGCAGTGGTGCTGGCGTACTTGCGATTTGAGCGGCAAGCGTCGCCCGTGGCAGAGGCCACGGTGTCGAACACGTTTTTCCAGCGGCTGATGGTGCAGTACGGTCTGCAGTTTGCGGTGGAGATTGTGTTTGCGGTGGTGTGCGTGGCGGCGACGCGGTATGCGCTCGGTGTGGAACATTTTGCACCACTGCGGATCGGACGCGAGCCGCTGATCGACCACGCCACGGCGCTCGGCATGTTCTACACTGTGGTGTACGTGGGGACGTTTGTTGTGGTGGATGGCGAGAACATTCCGCCGCGATAAGTGAGTCAACACCCTTCAGGCTGGGCCGAGCTTGCGGGCCTTCAGTGGCCGGCAAACTTGCCGTTAAAGGCCATTTCGACGAGGGCGCGCTCGTGCGAGTTGAAGAAGCCCATGATCCGGTTGAACGTCTCCGGGTCCTGGCCGGCAAAGGCCTGGAGGAAGGCGGTGAGGTACTCGCCGATTTTGATCTGCATGAGCGGGTCGTCTTTGTACTCTTCGTCGTTGTCGTCGTCGAGGCCGTCATAGTCGAGGCCGAGGTTCCAGGCGTCGGAGAGCATGTAAGAGTCCGAGGGCTGGAACGGCGACTTGCCCGAGTCTGCGTCGCGGAAGACGAGGCCGGCTGCCTCGTAGAGGTCGTCGTCAAAGTCTGAGAGGTCGTCGTCTTCATCGTCGCCGAGGAGGCCGGACTCGATGTCGTCGTTGAGCGAGTCGAGGTGGCCGATGAAGACGCGGATGATGGCGATGGGGACAGGAACGTCCTTTGTAGTGACGCCGGCCTGTTTTGCGGAGCGACGGGTGCGGACGGGGGCGTCGAGGTCGATGACTTCCTGGCGGACAGTCAGGGTCTGGATGGCCGAAGCCATAGGGGCGAGCATGGAGGCGAGCGAGGTGAGCGAGAGGCGCGAGACGTACTTGCCGGTAAACTCGAGCTCGTGCTCGAGCCACTGGGACATGAGGACCTTGAGGCCGTTTGTGGAGCCGACGGAGATGCCAGCGGCGAGGTCGAGGATGTCTGCGGCGCCTTGGGTGGAGATGAGAAGGGCAAAGACGGAGACGAGCGACTGGATAAAGGGCGAGTAGCGGGCAGTGGCGAGGCGCTGGAGGAGCGAGTCAAGCATCTGGCCCATGATGGACGAGACAGCGTCGGGCGCGCGCTTGATGAGGGTGATGATGAGGGCGCCAACGAGCGAGGCGCCGTCCTCGGAGATGTCGTCCGAGACGAGGCGCGAGATAAAAGTGAGGACCAGCTCCATGGCGGACTCGCCGTTGGGTCCAAGCTGGGCCTGCATGTGCTGCGGAGCCTTGGCGATGTAGAGACGGAGGATCTTGCAAGCGACCTGCATGAGCGATGAGTCTGGCGAGGAGAGTGCCTGGACAAGAAGGGCGCCGAGGAGCGAGCCCATGTCATCGGGCATGGGCTCGGGGGCGACGGTGACGAGGGCGAGGAAGATGTCTGCGACGGCCGCGACAAAGCCGCAGCCGCGCGGGATGTTGTCTGCGGCGACGCTGCCTGTGGACGAGAGAGTGGAGCCGATGAACTTGTAGAGACGGGCAAAGACAGGCTCAAAGGCGACGGCGGCGAGCGACTCGAGGACGGCGACGGACGACTCGACGAGAAGATAGTTATCGCGGTAGTGGATAAAGATAGCGAGGGCAAAGGGGCGACGGTGGCCTCGACCGAGGCGGTTGCGTCACCATCGACCTTTGTGAGCATGACGAGGGCGTCGAGGATGATGGAGAGGATGGGGTTGCGCGAGTTTGCGAGGGTCGAGTACTCGTTGGCGGTCGCATCGTCGTCGGCGTCGTCGACGGTGGGGCGCTCGTAGGTTGCGCCGATTTCCTGGGCGAGCGAGACGAGCGAGGTGATGAGGCCCGGGACGTATTCTGCGAGGGCCGCCTTGGGCATCTTGCCTGCGAGGGCGAGGGCCGACTTTGTGGCCGAGACGCGGACAGGGAGAGCGGCATCCTCGGCGAGGCAGGCGTGTGTGGCGTTGACAAAGGCGACGGCGAGCTCCGCGGGGACGGCGTGGGCAAAGAGTGAGGCGAGCCAGAGGGCGCGGCCGAGGAGGTACGGGTTGTCGGTCGTCTGCAGGACCGGGAGGAGGACGTGCTCGAGGAAGCCGCCGATGTCAAAGTCGAGGTCGCCAGAGGCGAGGAGGGCGAGGAGCTCGGGCGATGAGCGGCCCATGACGTAAAAGACGGCCTCGCGGAGGCGCCAGGCGTTGTCGGCCTGGCCGGCGGCGTCGAGCTCGTCGGCGGTGGCGAGGTGGGCCGCGGCAGCTCTGGCGAGTGAGAGAACGACCTGCATGCAAAAGGCCTCGCCGGTCTGCGACTCGAGGAGGAGCTCTGCGAGGAGATCGACGGCGGCAAGGCGGACCGAGTGGCGCTTGACAGACATCTCGTCCTCGTCCTCTACAAACTGGATGGGGTCGTCCTCCCACACCGAGAGCTGGGCGTCGGTGAGCTGGGCGTAGACGATGATGATGGAGACGAGGTCCGAGAGCGAGGACTCGAGGGCGGGGCGGAAGGTTTCGCGCGAGGCCATGATGTTGACTGCCTCAAAGAGCGAGCAGAGCTGGTGCTCAAAGCCCATGACGTTGCCGTCCGAGTCGCGCGGCGGGGGCGGGAGGCCGTCCTGCAGGGCGGCAGTGTAGGGCGAGGTCCCGGACTCGAGAGAGTGCCAGACGAGCGGGAGGCATGGGCCGACAAGCTCAGCACACTCGGTGGTGTAGCGGAGCATGACGAGGTTGACGAGGCGGATGGCCTCAATCTTGAGGCCGCAGTCGTCTTCGGGCGAGTCGGGGAGCGAGAGCACGGCGTGGGCGCCCTCGATAAAGTGCGGCAGCGAGTCGCCAAGGATCGAGACGGCAGCGTTCGGGTCGGCGCGCTTGACATGGAAGAGGGTGGCGAGGCACGAGGAGTAGATCTTGATGGCGCGCATCTGGTCGCGGGCGGTGTACGCGCCCGACTCGTTGGAGAAGACCGCGAGGAGCGGCTCGGCGAGCATGGGGATGGCGTTCTCCATGTGGTCCTCCTTCATCGTCCGCGCAAAGTCCTCGAGGCAGCGCAGCGTGCCGTGGACAACCTTGGGCTCGCCAGACGCCAGGGCGCCGACCAGGTCGTCAAAGACCGACGGCCAGTCCTGCGGCCAGTCGTGCGAAGCCATGATGGCGATAGCAGCAGCGGTCATACCGCGGATGCGCGGCAGGTCATCGGCAAGGCCGACCGGGAGAAGCTCACGGAGCGTGGCCTTGTCCTCTTTGCCCAGCACCGTGTTGTCCGGGTGGTACCACCGCGAGTGGACCGTCCAGTGGCCCTCAATGGCCTGCCGGGTGAGGACCGAAGCAAGCATGCGGTACGACGGATCAGTCTCCGTGGAGAGGGCGATCTGGGCGAGGGTGACGGCGTAGCCTGTGTGTGGGGAGGGGGATGGGGTGAGTAGAGGGATGATGTCGGCCACTATGATGTCGGCCACGATGATGTCGGCCACGATGATGTCGGCCACGATGATGTCGGCCACGATGACGTCGGCCACGATGATGTCGGCCACGATGATGTCGGCCACGATGATGTCGGCCACGATGATGTCGGCCACGATGACGTCGGCCACGATGATGTCGGCCACGATGATGTCGGCCACGATGATGTCGGCCACTGTGACGTCGGCCACGATAATGTCGGCCACCACGTCGACGGCCACGATGATGTCGGCCACGATGATGTCGGCCACGATGATGTCGGCCACGATGATGTCGGCCACGATGACGTCGGCCACGATAATGTCGGCCACGATGACGTCGGCCACGATGATGTCGGCCACGATGATGTCGGCCACGATGATGTCGGCCACTGTGACGTCGGCCACGATAATGTCGGCCACGATGATGTCGGCCACGATGATGTCGGCCACGATGATGTCGGCCACTATGACGTCGGCCAAGATGATGTCGGCCACCACGTCGACGGCCACCACGTCGACGGCCACGATGATGTCGGCCACGATGATGTCGGCCACGATGATGTCGGCCACTGTGACGTCGGCCACGATAATGTCGGCCACGATGACGTCGGCCACGATGATGTCGGCCACGATGATGTCGGCCACGATGACGTCGGCCACCACGTCGACGACCACCACGTTGACGACCACCACGTCGACGGCCACCACGACCTCAAGCGCCACCACGTCGACAGCCACCACCCACCCACCTCTCCCTCTTCCTATGTAGCACACACAGGAAGGAGAGAGAGGGAGAGAGCGAGCGAGCGAGAGAGAGAGACAGAGGGGAAGGGAGGGTGGCAGTGGCCATAGTGTGGGATGCGTAGATTCATGTCTTGCTTCTACAAACACAGCATGATCATATGGGTATGGGGAATAGCAGTCGATGGGCTAAGAAACGGGGGAAGGGGGTGGGGGTAAGGAAATAGTACGTACCAGGCTCATTGCACATCTGCTTGAGTGCAGCCTCACTCTCGCTCACAGCCTCACCACTGATGATGTTCTGGAAGTGGCCGGCAAGAACGTCCATGGTGCGTTGGGTGACGGAAGACGAGTATGATGATCGATGGTTGCCGCCACCGACTCGCCTCATTACTGTCCTTCCCTCCTGGCTGTCGCAAGATTAAGATCAGATGGTATGTGTGTAGTAGAGATCAATAGACTTGGTTCGGTTGTCTTTGGCTTCAGCACCAACGTCAGCACGCTGTCGCGCTCTGTCATCCAGGTCCGACATCTATGCCAATCTTCGTCTCTGTATGCTCAACACCGAGCAGGGCGACGATCACCACGGCCAAAGCAGTAGCTTCTCCCAGTCAGCGAGCTAAGCACCAGATCTGAACATCAAATGGGTGGGGATATGCCCATAGCTATGCCGGGGCATGAGCCTGACGGCCGCAAGGCACGACCAACCAGAACAGGCCAAAACGAGGGCACGATAAGAACGATATGTACGCAACCGTCACCACACCCATTTGCCCAATCAAAGGCACCAATCACAATCACAACAGCTCGCACGTTTGATTCATGGGCGGGTGGTGAGGGGGGGGGGGAGGCCCTTTTTTGGACGCGGCGAATTTTTGTGTTGCGGCGGCTGCGGCGGCGGGGAGGGGGGCCTGGGGCTGAGGAGGGTGGCCACGCCGAGGGGGAGCCAAGGAAGGGCATAACGGATAGACAAAGACGGCACCACTCTCCAGCCGCTGCGCTTCCACCCCCACCCCCACCACCCAGTCACCCACCCACCCCACCCCCAGCCCCACCCTACCTTTCCACATCTCCATTGCCTCTCTACCACTTGCTCCTACCAACTGGTTCAAGCAAGACCATGTCGTACGTGCCGTTGTGTATCCCCCCGCACTGCCACGGTCGCTTTCTTCAAACAACGTGTTTTGCACAAACCATTCCGTCGCGGCAGGCCCTTTTTTATCAATCGTCCATCAATGGTTTTCAATTATTTTTTTTGAAGCCCATGACGAACACCGCGAAGCGTTCACAGGAGTCGCCCGCCCGTCCCCCCCCTCCTCCCCCCCCCCCCCCGGCACGCCATGTTCTTGCCCTTGCCACCTGTGCCTGGCACCAACTACGCACCAACCACACTACAATATGTCGGAGAGGTAGTTTATGTGACACTCTCAGCTATGTGGTTGGGATGGTCCTTGGTCTGACCCTCCTGGTCCCCTTGCCCTTGGCCTCCCCTCGCCCCCATCTGGCTCTCTCCGGCTTTGCTGGCCTTAGTTGGCTATGCCAAGACACCTTTTTTTCCCCAAAATTTCTCCCTGCTTTGCCGCCCCCCCCCTTTGTCGCGCGCATCTGCCCCGCTTCCTCCATACTGCCTCTCCATCGCATTGCGTTCTTCTTCTACTTCTCCTGCAGCGTGCATGCACTGTTTTGTCATTCTGTACACATGGCTCCTGTCCCGAGCTTGGCTTGCCCAAGGCCACGAATCTTCCAGGACAATTTTCACGACCTTTTTTCCCTCCCTGGCCACCCTATCCCATATGCAAGCGCATGCTTGCCTCCGCCACTACCACGAGCAAGGCGATGGTCGTTGCATTTTCCTGAGCCATTTCTCCCTCATCATTGTTGCTTGGTTGGCTACGTGGCGCGCTCTCCCATTCTTTCTCCTCGTCGACCCAACCGGCACACCCGCTCAGTAGGCTTGCATGCAGTAGCAGACTCACATGATGGCCTTTTTGATGGATGTTGGGAAACAGGGAGAAGGCTGTGGTTCAGGTCGTGGCGTCTGTTTTCCACTACATCGATGGGGCTTGGGCGCCAAAGGGCAGATCGTCCATCGGTCTGTATCACAACGCGGCGCTCAATCGATACCGTGTGGTCGCCTACGACGCTGCCAAGAACGTGACCATCAACTCGAACATGTCTGCTGACATGGTCTACCGCAAGGCCTCTGAGACCTTCCACCAGTGGTCCGACGGGCGTACCATCTACGGCGTCAACTTTGCAGATATCCCGACGGCCGACAAGTTTTTCGCAAACATGTCGTCGTCGATCGACGCTCTCAAGTCTTCGCCGCCCGCCGCTGCCTCGCCGGTTACCTCGCCGCAGCCGTCGCCGACGCTAACGCCGACGCCGACGCCGACGCCTGCGCCAAAGCCGGCATCAGCACCGGCACCGGCGCCCGCTATTGCGCCTGCCGATTTGGCTGCCAAGCTCGCCCGCGGCCCGCCGCCTGGCGGCCGCCCGCCGTCGGGTACGGGCGTCAAGCCCGCACCGTCGCCTGACGCCGGAAATGGTGGCGCTAGCGGTCCACCCGGAGCACGACCCATGGGTCCACAGCCCGGCGCCATGGGTGACATGTCTGAGCTGCAGGCCCGTCTTGCTGCCCGCAAGAACTCCAAACCTATCACCGAGCCGCCGCCGGCTGGTGCCAAGCCGCCACCGGCTGGTGCCAAGCCGCCGCCGGCTGGTACCAAGCCGCCGCCGGCTGGTGCCAAGCCGCCACCGGCTGGTGCCAAGCCCCCGCCGGCTGGTGCCAAGCCACCGCCGGCTGGTGCCAAGCCGCCACCGGCTGGTGCCAAGCCGCCACCGGCTGCCGCCAAGCCGCC